GTGGAAAGGAGGAGTGTGCTGTCACAGTATGGGGAGAGCAATTAGGGTCACATAACAGTGTACATATAAATTTTTGTATGGGAAAAAATTTTTTAAAAAAACACAAAATAACAAATGTTGGCATGGACATGGGGAAATTGGAACAATTATCCATTGCTGGTGGGAATGCAAAATGGTATAGCCATTGTGGAAAACATTGTGGCGGTTCCTCAAGAAACTAAAAATAAAACTACCGTACGACCCAGCAATTCCACTCCTAAAAAGACTTGAAAGTAGAGACTCAGAGACTTGTATACCCATGTTCACTGCCGCACTATTCATAATAGCCAAAAGGTAGAAACAACCTAAATGCCCATCAACAGATGAATGAGTAAACAAAATATGGTACATACATGCAATAGAATACTACTCAGCTAGTAGGAGAAACAAAGTCTTGATACATCCTATAATATAGATGGAGCTGGAAGACATTATGTGGAAATAAGTCAATCACAAAAGGACAAATATTGTATGACCTCACTTATATAAAAAGACAAGAAAAGGCAAATGTATAGAGATCAAAGTTTATTCATAGTTACCAGGGGCAGGAGGGAGGGAGAAAGGTGAAATTAACTGTGATAGAAAAATCTCATTGATTAAGGGTAGGGTTGCACAGCCAATTATCGTAATTGCTGCCAGTAAGCTGTACATCTGTAGCCAGTTGAATTGGCAAAAGTTGTGTGATAAATATATTTACAATTAAAAAAAAAAAAAAGAGTACCTGCTGAGGCTGAGTATGTACAACTAAATACCCCATGGGATTGGTTTCTTGGTTTGAAGGTTTAGGGTCATGGTTTCATAGGACATCCCAGTTAATTGGCCTAATAACATGTTTAGCATTTCTGTTCTACCTCCTAGTTCAATGCGTAGTGCCTGAGGTCTTAAAAATCTTGCAAGTGGACATCCAAGGCACAACCATTGGTCTCTGTTCACCTGGAACATCAGAGGAAGAAGGAGAGTCAGAAATAGGAGGAGGATGTGGAATGTGTGGCTAATTGTCTCCATGAACAACTGTCTCCTTTGCCATGAGACCAGAACTGGATGGTGCCCAGTGACAATTACTGAAAATTTTGATCAGAGTCCATAGAAGAATGCTGATCAAAAGAGGGGAAATGCAGAACAGAATTTTAAATTTTCATGGACTCTAGACTTCCTGGAGCCATGAAGTTTGGATGAACCCCTAAAACTATTGCCCTGAGATAATCTTTACACCTTAAATGAAAAATATCCCCTGGAATCTTCTTAAAACCAAACAATAGTTTAGCTTAACTAGTAGAAAATTTATGCCTTGAGTATTATGCTTTTTTAAGAACTACTTATATGGGATCAAATTGATAACAGCAACTTGAAATCTTAGATAGGAACCTTAGGGGGTAGTGAATTTATGTTACTGTGGAAAGAACAACTCAGAAAAAGAGAGTGAGAATGGTTATACAACTCAAAGAATGCAATCAATATCACTAAACGGTATGTGTAGAAACTGCTGAATTGGTGTATGTTTTGCTGTGTATATTCTCAACAATAACAAAATAAATAAAATTAAATATTTAAAAAAATGAATATTACCCATAAGTACTGTGCTTCTTTAAAAAATCATCTATATAAGACCAAACAGTCAACAATTACTTTAAAACAAAGATGAGAATGTAAAGGGCTAGGTAAACTAGATTAATGGAAACGGAACAACTAGAATAAACAGAAATAATGAGAATGTTCACACATTGTGAAGAATGTAACCAATGTTACTGAACAACTAGTGTAGAAACTATTGAATGGGAACCTAAACAGTTATGTAAACCTTCACCAAAAACACAATAAAATATTTTAAAAATAAATAGATAGATAAAAGAACTTTAGAATCAAGAAAAAAAAAATTTTTCTCTAATCTAGAAAGATCAAGGGAATTGCATTGTTTTATGATAAAAATATGCAAAGGATCAATTCATGCTCCTACACTCATCCTGGCCCCTAAAGTGGTCTGTCAAGAGTTGCCTGTATTCTTATTTAACAAACCATAGTGTAACAGCTGAAGGATATAAAGGTCATAATGAAGCTGACCAGAGGTGAGAAGTCCTTCTGAGAAAAGTGACTTCCTGTTGCCAAAGAGTCCCCAGGGGGTGCAAACAGTTAACACATTCAGCTGCTAACCAAAAGATTGGAGGTTCAAGCCCACCCAGAGGTGACTCAGAAGAAAGACCTGACAATCTACTTCCAAAAAATCAGCCATTGACATGCACAGGATCACCATGAATCAGAATCAACTCGATGGCAACTGGTTGGTTTACTGGGATTTTTGTTTGTCTCCTCCCACAAAAGCGTAAGTTCCATGAGGGCAAGGACATTGTCTTTTTTGTGCATCACAGGTACCCCCAAACAGTGCCTGGCACATAGTAGCTGCTTCATAAATAAATGCTGTATAAAAAAATTCCAGGGACTGGCCAGGAGGAAAGACTGAGTGGAGAACGGAAGAACATAGGCTACATAGTCAGGGTTGTACAAGAGATCAGATGCCAGTGTACAGTTCCTTCATCATCAACCATACCTTTGTCTTTCTTTTTCCCAGGGCTGGGTGCACCACCTTGAGCATTCCAGATTGCACCCAAGAGGATTCAAGACCCTTGAGAACAGGGTCTGGGTCTTGTTCCCCAACATGGGGGCTTACTCTCAAGAAGTACCCAACAATAGTTTGTAGAACTAGGTTGAAAAAGAATAGCAGTCTGCCTTGAAAGGACCAGTGCTCACCAGAAGAAGCCTAGGGATCTTTAGTGGCCTCTCCACATACAGCGATGTATCTCTCTTCCATGCTTCCTTATCTCCCACACATTCCAGCACTGCTGATTTTTCTCAAAGGAGGTAAGATGGGTTGTGATGCCAACTCCATGGTTCCATGATGCCAAGGGCATCACTGCGTCATCCATACACATACACAAAGAGGAAAAGACTTGGAGATTTTAAATGATAAACAAACTTAGTCAAACTCACAACACTAGTCTATGCCCTCCCTGAGGTGGGGCGGGTGTAGGCCTTTTTCCTCTGATAAAATATATACTTCAAAGAGCCACAAGAAGAAAATCTTTCATTCTGCTTTTCCTGACAATGAAAGATTACTTTGCTGTAGGTATATGGCACCCATTTACTTTTATTCACCCATTACTTACCAAAGAGCTCACCCGACCTGGCCAGAGTGGGATAGGTCCACACAGTCACGTCATTCTTGGGAATGCCTTGGCCGGTCACAATCTTCTTTGTCTTAGGTAGCCAGATAAGGGAGCAAATCTGCAATAATGACAAAAAAAAAATGCAGAACTATGGGTATTTCTGATTCATTGTGAATATACTGGTTCTACAGAGTATGCTCCGTCCACCACCCATCCTCCAGTTCACAGCTGGAGTTAAGGTGTTTTAGGAATTATATTAGTTCTAGGAAAGTTCACCCCAAGAAAACAAAGCACTAAGTATTCTAATAGGGTTTGGTGCAATGAACTTACAAATTTAAGTGAGCTGTGATCATCAGCCAGGAATGGCCAGACTGCTCTCAAATTTCACAGTCAAAGCAATGGTGAGAAAGAAGGGAAATGTGAAAAAATGAAAGAAAGGAGGAAGGAAGGAAGAAATAAAACACAACTTAAATAAACTTTGGATTCACAGATGAAGAGGTTTTATGAAAAGAAATTCTTGAGAACTGAAACTTCTTATGGACTCAGTAGGCAAGGGCAGGTTTGTTTGGGTTCTATGCTATACCACAAAATATTTTCACAGGATTCTAGAAGAATCAAAATGGCAGTGAACTCCAGAGGAGATATGTACCTGTGAATTTGTACTTGGGGACTGGATGCTTTCCCCAGTGTTTAGATCCAAGATAAGTAAATGTCCATCCTTCATTCCTCCTCCAACAGCAAGGACTGACAACTCCCAGGGATACCAATCCATGGCCTTTAAAGTTCAAAAGAATCAAACAGCAGTTCACTCTTGGAGGAGATGAACTCATGTGATGTACCCAGGTAAGCAGGAATCCCAGAGGTCTGCACCAGTGGTGGGTCATTTGGAGCCTCCAATCCAAAGTCAGAAGCAATAGCATCCTCCAGAGATTACTTCTCAGGGTCTCGAAATCCCTTCCGAAGGTGATGGCACCTAACAAAACTCTTCCTCAAATTATAACAATTGTGTATATTTTTAACATAGAAAAGTGATGTAATAATATGGCTGGAGACTACGTTCAACATATCCTATGGAGCAAAAATCTGAGGCTAGAGTAGCTCCCATGTGCCCCTATAATCTGGTTATGAAATGTAGCCTTTCTCTGGTTCATCTACCTGTATCCTTAGGCTCTAGGTGGTCATCATATAAGAGAATAGAAGAGAAATAGTTATATGTGATTGCTCACAACTCAAAAAATCCCATGCATTTCAGAAGACAAAATTACCTTTTTTAATATACGTTATTACAATTAACTCTGAAAAATAGTACTTAGTATAATTGAATATTTATTTTGATAATTGAAAAGACTAGTAACAATAACTTTAAAGAACATTTTAATAAATAGTTCAATTATATTTATCTAAGGAGCCTTGGTGGTGCAGTGGTTAGGAGTTCGGCTGCTAACCAAAAGGTCAGCAGTTTGAATCCACCAGCCGCTCCTTGGAAACCCTGTGGGGCAGTTCTACTCTGTCCCATAGGGTCGCTTTGAGTCTGAATCAACTTGACGGCAACAGGTTTGTTTTTTTTTTTTAGTCTGTACCTCCTTATCAGTCATCCCAATAACGACTCTCATTTTTGCATATTATCTTCTATATGTAAAAATATTTTATAAAGTTGCAAACACACTGTATATACTGTTTTGTTTTTTATTTTTACTTATATAAATAATTTTCATGTTTAACATACTTTTCAGAATTATCATTTTAACAGTTCCATAACATTCCATCATGTTGTTGTATTCTAATTAATTTTGGTTCTCCTATTCCTAGATTCAGGTTGGTTTTATTGGTTTGATTTGGTCTGGTTTGCATTAGGTTGAACTGGTATGGGATGGCATGAATTTTTGGGTTTTGTGTGTTTTGTTTGTTGTTGTTTGCTATCGTAAAGAACACTGTAATTAATGTATTCTTGAGTGTCTTTTGTTTCTGACAAATTATTTTTTAGGTAGATTCCAAGGTTCAAACTAGCTGACATACTGCCTTGAACATTGTGCTCTTCTAAAAACTGTCTATATGGTATCAAATGGAAAACAACAACTCAACAGATAGGAAATTTAGGGGGCAATGAGTTTATGTTAATGGGGGGAGGAACAATTCAGGAGAGTGAGAATGGCTACACAACTTGAAGAATGAAATCAGTGTCACTGAATTATACATGTAGAAATTGTTGAATTGGTATATGTTCTGCTGTGTGTATTCTCAAAAACAACAACAAATTTAAGTGTTGATATAGGCAACCAATGTCAAAAACAATATGTGTGCTGTTTAATGAGAAAATAATTTGCTCTGTAAACCTTCATCTAAAGCACTATTTTAAAAAAATGTTGACAAAGTTTTCCTAGAGTGGCAAGTTTTTACAACACCTGCATCAAACGAATACACTAATTTCATCCTGAACTAAGATAACTTGATGTTTAAAATGTTATTTTACATCTAGTGAAATTGCAATAATTACAAAACAGATTATATGGTAGAACGTGAGGAGTCATTGCCCTAGTGACTGTTCTTGTGATTCCCCAAGTTTTAGCTTCCATGAGGCTTGGTTTGTGCCAGTTTCCAGAACCTGTCTTAGTGAAGACGACTTTCATTTAGTAGTTCAATTCATTCAATTGCTGACAACAAGGCATCTAAGAAGTTAACTTGTTTTGATTGGTTTGGGTTTTTATCTGTTGGTTTTTTGTTTTGTTTTTGTATGTTGTTTTTAGACAGAACCATGCACTAATATCAGGATATATTAAAAACAAGATTACTGTCAGAAGAGTAATAACTTCAAATATCTTATGTACATTTTCCCTAGATTTTTTTCAAGTTGTTAACAATGGGAATTTGGACCTAAGATCATTCTCAATGTCCTATGGACATTAAAAACCACAAGCCAAAGCTATTGGGCCAGCACTATGCGGAAGCAACAGCACTACATATTCCATCCTATATTAGGAAACTGTAGGATAACTTTTAAGTTCTCATATTGTTCATAAATCTGCTTATCATTAATAAAGTAAAATCATTTCTTTGCATTATGAATGATAAATATTCTGGGACTATGTTGGGGCCAAGACATACATCTTTGATCCTAAAGTCAAGAAGGAAAGTAAGGATATTTTTTACTAGAATAAGAATTTAATATGCTAAGAAATTATTATGCAGAACATAGTGGAATATTGGTTTAGCTCTGCAGCACTCTCCTCCCTCTTCTGGCAATGGAACCCAGGCCTGACAGTCAGAGTGCCCGTTTCTCTGCTGGTATTTGTCAATTCAGAGATGAGAATTTGATCAAAGACAGACCAGCATCCTCCCTGAGACTTTGCTACTAGAGTTGTAAGGAAAGATGGTCTCTTCCCCATCTCCATCTGGGAGAAAGTGAATCTGAGGCTGTCAAGAGCCATCTTGCCCACAAAATGGAGTCTTAATGAAGAATGAAACTAAACAGAGACAAGCAGATCCAAGAGATGGTGAAAAAGACAGAGCGCTGATGACATTACTCAAGGTCCTAGATCCAGCCAAGATTGAAACAGCTAGGTACCCCAGGACTCCCCAATTACATGAGAAAATAATTTTTTTTTTTTTTTTGCTTAAGCTCAAGCTTGACTTTGGTTCAGTCACTTACAGCCAAAAAATCCTGACTCATGAGGAGTATAAATAGGATTCCTTTCAGGTGAGTAATGGCAAAATCCTAAACAAATTCTGGGGGAAGAAAAATCTCAAAATATTGGCTTAATGGTTTCATTTTTGTATGTGAAGGATACCCAGTAGTCTCTAAGTAAAAGGACACATAGAAAGCTGTTGCATTTCTTACCTTGACTGCTGTAGATTGGGATATAACTTTTAGTGGTTGACCCTGTGCATTCGCACCTGGATCGTAGGGCCATATAGTCAACAGTCCGTCACTACAGCCACTGGAAAGCAGCTTGCCATCCAGTGACCACTTCAGAGCACACAGAGCTTGCTTGTGGTAAAGTATTCCAACATGATGCTGGGCTACCAGAACATCATGGTGATACACGTGCCCCAGCCTCGAGCCACTGCACAAGAGGTAAAGGGCAGGTTTACATGACAGAAAAATTTAGTCATATGACTACATAAGAATTTGAGGACATGGGGGAACACATAGTTCAAAGCAAAACTACTGAAAGATTCCTTCTGACAGATTCAAAACCCAGGCAGAAATTCCTTGGGTTAATAAGGATGGAGTATTCTGCCTGGGTGGTTCTTTCCACAAGTTAAATAGATTTGTCTGACAGAGTTTCAAATAAAAGGTCATGAAGATATCCTTGGATAAACATATCTAATAACTTTAATATAATTTAAGCAGCCATTAAGATTACCAGATTTTCCCAGGTAGTGGTTTGTGTACTAGACCTAGGAAATACTACTTTCCTGGAACTCAGAATATTTTATATTAACTCAATTAAATGGTATCAGTCTATATTTATAGTAAAATGTTAGACATGAAAATTTATTATTTCCTTTTTCCAACAGATTAATTTCTGTTAATCTATAGATTCACTATTAGTCTTGCTAATGCTACTAACATGTAAAAAGAGTATAAAATTATCTGAATGTACCAGCAAACTGCAATATGATTCAAAATCAGTGGATAATGTCTCTATCCACTCTTAATAATGAGAATTGTATCACTCTTTTAAAGACAAGGAACTCTTTCTAATTTAATTTTCTCCAAGAAGCAAGTAAATAACTTCCTACAATAAAGATATTTCTGAAATTTCTCAAAGTCCAGGATCATATTTTTAAAAACTACTGAGGCACAACACTGAAGAGCATCCTGGTTAACAGTATGGGCTCTGGACATCTGGGGGTCTTAAAATCTTGCAAGCTTTTAAGTCTAAGATACAACTATTGGCCTCTTCCCCTATGAAGCAAACGAGGGTGAAGAAAACCAAGACTCAAGGGAGCAGTTTGTCCAAAGGACTAATGGACTACATGAATCACAGCATACACAACCTCCTGAGACCAGAATAACAAGATCATGCCCAGCTACCACTACCGACTGCTCTGACTAGGATCACAACAGAGGATCCTGGACAGAGCAGGAGAAAAATGAAGGAAAAAAAATTTAAATTCATAATAAAGACCAGACTTACTCATCTGACAGAGACTAGAGGAACTCCCAAGCCTATGTCCCTAAGACACCCTTCTGACCTAGAACTGAAACCATTCCTAGAGACCGCCTTTCAGCCAAACAATAGACAGGCCCATAATATAAACAAGAAGAATGTGCTCCTTAGAATAATCATCTATACAGATCAAAAGGGCAACACTTGCCCAAAAGCAAAGATGAGAAGGCAGGAAGGGGTTGAAAATCCAGAAGAAAGGAAATGAGGAACCCAGACCAGAAACGGAGACAGTGACACATTGTGGGAAATGCAACCAATGTCATCAAACACTTTATGTACAAACTAACAAATGGTAAACTAATTTGCTCTGTAAACTTTCACCTAAAACACAATAAAAATTTAAAGAAAAACAGTATGGGCTCTGGAGCTAGACCATCTGCATTCAAATCCTGACTCTTCCCCTTATTAACCATGTGATCTCAGGCTAATGTCTTAGTTTACTTACATGGAAAAAAATGCTGAGAGTAGGAAACCACCTTATAGTGTTATTACAGTGATTAAAATAAGATCACACACATAAAGAGTATAACACAGTGCACAGAGCAGTCCAAAAGGACCTGTTCATAAGAAAGGACCTGTTCATATTCCTCACGGGAAATGGAACAAAACTTAACAATGCAGATTGGAAATGGAACTCCAGTACAGAAGTGACTTGACTCCAACAACTTCTCAAAGTGAATACTTAGGCCGTTATAGGCCTTTTTGCTTAAATCGTTTTAAGTTTGGCCTATAACCACAAATAGTATTAAAATCTCAAACTTACATTTGGGCTAAAGAAATTATAAAAGGCTTTGAAATTTATCTAACTTAAATCTACCTCAAGAAACAGAGTATAAAGATGAATGGCTGATATTAAACACAATATAGACTTAGACCAATTTTAGACCTGAGTTCTTTCTGGGACCATTGTACCCTTAGCTTTTCCGGGATTCTGTTTCCTATTCTCTAAAAGGAAGAATCAGTGGTTCTCAAAGTGTGGTGCCTGGACCAGCAACATCAACATGACTTGGGAAATTAGAAATACAAATTTTCAGGCTGACCCCAGACCTACCAAATCAGGAACTCCAGAGTTGGGGCCCAGCTAACTGTGTTTTAACAAGACTCCAGGTGATCCTGATGCACGCCCATGTTTGAGTACCATTGAACTAGATAAGGAGCCCTGGTGGCACAGTGGTTAAGAGTTTAGGCTGCTAACCAAAAGGTCGGCAGTTGGAATCCACCAGCCATTCCTTGGAAACCCTATGGGGTAGTTCTATCCTGCCCTATAGGGTTGCTATGAGTCAGAATCAACTCAACAGCCACGGGTTTGGTTTAGTTGGAACTAGATAATCTAAAAGATTAACCTCTGTAGTTCTGTGAATGGGAAATGTACCTAGAAAGCTTAATATATTCTAAAAGTATTGGTACCGATAGCAATAAATACTTGAGTTCAGCAAAATATCCCTCTAACAAGTATTACTTGGCAGAGAGAGTTTTTGCTTGAAAACAGTTTCACATTTTATCTGAAAATTCACTGATTCTTGAGCCTCACATTCCAATCCTGGCAGGTGTTGAAGGCATGGTAGTATGTGTGGCCGCTGGCACACTTACGTCACCAGAAGAGCTGAACACCTGAGATGGTAGGATCGTAATGGGTACTAGCTCGAATGTCCCATTTTGTTTCTGGTCTTGGTTTTAATATTATTGTTCTGCTCACTCTGCACCGATCGTCAATTGCTGATACAAACATAACTGACTCCAATAAGATACTTCTTACCTACTGAGGAAACAGTGATTCCAGCTCAGAGCCCCAACAACTGATAAATGGCCAAGCATATTTCTCAGCCGCTTTTTAGTTACCACATCCCATAACTGAAAAAAAAAGGGCAAGCAGAGTTATGTAGCATTGGTATTTTCACATCCCACTGTCTTCTCAAAGGCCTTATAGCCAATTAATGTTGATATAGCCAGTTCTTAGGTACTAAGTGGAAGTACAGAACCATTAACTCTAACCAGCAGTTCTCAATTCTGACTGCATATTAGACTCACCCTGGTGGCATAGGAAACCCTGGTGGCACAGTGGTTAAGAGTTCAGCTGCTAACCAAAAGGTGGGCCGTTCCAATCCACCAGCCGCCCCTTGGAAACCCTGTGGGGCAGTTCTACTCTGTCCTATAAGATTGCTATGTGTTGGAATTGACTTGACAGCAATGGGTTTGGTTTCTTGGGTTTTGGGGTTTTTTGTTTGTTTGGGGGACATCTAAAATGCTATGGCAGCCAGAGATTCTGATATAATGGTGGGGGTGGAGTCCTGGGAAATGGTGTTTATTATAAAGCTCCCCAGGCGATTCCAATTTGCAGCCAAGGGCTGGGAACCACTATCACACCTCTAAAACCAACAGCTGCTGTCAATTCGACTGTCGGCAACCCAATGCGTGTCAGAGTAGAACTGTGCTCCACAGGGTTTCCAAAGGCTGATTTTTCACCAGGCCTTTCTCCTGATCACATCTCTAGGCAGGGACATATTACCCAATAAGCAAGGTATGCACACAGGCTTACTTGTGGTTACTTACTAACTTGTAGTGCACAATTTCACATGAATCCTTGATGTGGTGAAAAACAGGTGAAAATGTGAACTACACATTAGTAAGTAAGCCCATGCACGTACCTTGCTTATTGGGTAACACATCCCTGCCTCTAGCTCCTTCCAAATTGTGGTAATACCAAGGCTGGAAGTCCACGTACAGTTACCAACAAATATATTAGTAAAATTTGGGTACCTGGACACTTCATAGAATAGGGAATTTCATTTACTGCTAAGATACTGCTTTCCTGCCAGCTAGAGATGATATTCTATGAGAACTGACAAGTTTGTGAAGAAATCGTGACATAACCTTCACAGCATCCAATGATCATCGCAGAGATGAGGGAGCAGTGAGAGTCATCTGTGGCCCTCCAAAGTTACCTAACATATGGGAAATATTGTTTACACTGTTGCTATAATAAGCAATAATGATAATGATATCTGAGAAATTAAATCAATGGGAACTTGAAAAATCTTCATCTCAGAGACCTTGTCAGAACAAAATTCACTCATTTTATAACTCTACTCCTGATCATGGCTTGAGACAAGAAAGGAGAACTAGAAGGTTATCTTCCTCTGTCCAAAGTTCCAAAACTGGGGCTTCAAGCCCAACTCTAGTTTGAGAGAAAAGATAAGAATAAAGAGACAGAAAAAAAGAAGAAAGATAATGGGGGAAAACTAAGCAGAGTATCTTTATATCCCACTCAGAAAGAGCCAGAATGGTATACCCTCTCACTCCCCATGGCTTCAAATACCCAATCTGGTTTCTATTTTATATTAACCTGTTATTAAAAGCTGATTTTAGCCCAGTAATTTCAGAGAGCACATTATGAGAAAAAAAATTGTCCAGTACTTGCACTGCTCCCTCGCTGGTGCCAACTGCCAGGCAGGTCCCTTCTTTTATCCAAGACACAGATGATATATAGTTACAAGTGAGACTTAAGTCTATGTTTTCAATCTCATTGTTGTTTTCCCTTTTCCAGATATATACAGAAGATCCAAGGGCTATAGCAACAAGATTTTGAAAATTCCAGTCTAAAATATTCAGATCTATAAGAAAAGCACTTCAAATTAGGCTCATAATACAGTCAAATTAAAATATTTTCAAATAAACACTGTAAGTACAGGAGAAAGGTTAATACCTTCCCCACAGTCAGTTGGAAAATAGAATTATGGATCCAAGCAGATTGCTAGAAGTTCAAAACTGAAAATTGAAATAGAATCTGGTGGCAGAACTCCCAGTCTAATAATAAGCAATAATGCTTATCCTTTACGCCCAAATATACTTATTTAAAGGCATTTAGAGAACTTAGCAACTTCATCAATCATTTATTAGGACACATGGACTTCACCCAAAAGATCACTAAAAATTAAAAGCATATGATTTTTATGGAGATATTCTTGGACCTAGGCTATCTATTTGGTAAATGTCACCAACACTTCTAACCAAAAACAACACCCAACTAAAGTATATCTAGAAGAGGTGGTCACCGGCTCATTTACGACACCTAGAAGTGCTCGTGCTGTTAACAACACCAGAAATGCTTTTTCTTCTCCCTTCCACCATCCCCTGAAGTACTACCCATCTCTGAAGGCCTAGCTCAAGTGTAAATATCTCCATGAAGTCTTTCTGACAACTGCAAAGTTTGCTGAGCTCCTTACAGTCCTTACAGTTACACCCCACAATTCATTATTTATGCTCTACTTTGGCTTGTTTGTGGCTGTTCCACGTGGGTTAGTTCTGCCTCTCCAACTACATTACAAGCTCTGCAAGCAGCAGGAATTTATTTTGTGTGGCCAGCATTCCCTATTGCAATTCTAGGCACGTAACAAGCAGACTCAGTGTGGTTGTTTGAACGATCAGATTTACCCGTGTTCAAACATGCATGCATAAGAATAGGCCACTGTCAGGACAACTCATTTTAACACAGTAAAACCAAAAGTGTATTTCTCAAACCCACCACCAACACCAACACCCATCCCTGAACATGAAAATTGCAGAAAGAAAAACCAACTATATAAATCATATTTGCGTGGTACATCATTTGGACAAAGGACAGTCTGATTCTTCCAGAATCAAATTTCAAATTCATGCCAGAGCATGGGGTATATTTCAACATTTCTACCTTTCAATTTACTATCTAAACAATAACTTACAGTTGTCATTTCGAAGACCAGTAGGATGAATCTTCACCTCTGGTTGGAGTATGGAATAGTTTACATCACTGAACCTTTTAAGATGGAAGGCTTCATCTCTGACTCCATCTCTGCAGCCTACAAGAAGCAAACTAAAAACAGTTCTACATATCTCTGTGATCCCAGAAACATAATATTTATCCTTGCAGGTATGAAGAGATAGCTGAGTGGGAAAGAACATGGTCACCACGATAAAATGGAATTACAAAGAGCAGGGGAGGAAAAGAAAAAAGAGAACTTCTGTAATAATTTAAACAAGAATATTGAAATATTATTCAATGGCATTTTCTAATAAAAAACATACGTGTGCCAGACCTAAATGTAGATGACAGATCTTGTGAAGAACACACACAGATACTACTTCGTGCTTTGTATATTTGCTCTGTCATTTGAGATTTTAAAACCAAAGTGATTCTTGCCAATATGTCTATAACACCAGCACTTACTTGGTAGACATAAGCCCTACTCTGAGTCCTTAGCAATAAATGTTTATTGTTGATTTATTGATTTTGGCTCTTTCCTCACTATCTCTATACCAAAGCATGCAGAGTTACTACTTTTGACTACCTTCACCCATGACTATCTGAGGTCAGGGTTATATCTTCTGCTAAATTTTAAGTTCTCATCAAAAGACCCCGCTAAGGCAAACCACAGGCCACTATCTTTTCATCTCTTCAACCACTCCACTTGTGATCAAACTGAAAATGACGAGAACAACAGGAACCGAGCCCACCCAGGTGGCTTGTGGTCTGTGATCAGAGGGCTTCTGATAAAAGCAAGAGAGCTTCACAATGTTGTATCAAGACGCCAGATGATTCCCATAAATTCCTGCCTTTGTGTTAGCTGTGAAAACCTGCAGTTGCATGCAGAACCACAAGGTTACTAGAAATACTTAGCTGAGCACTACTAAAAAAAGATCACTGAGGGTTAAAATTTAAAAAAAAAATGAACCAGCACCATTTCCACCGACTCTTAACTCTTTCAAGTATGATTTAATTAAAATGTTTAAATAGAAACATTAGTACTGTTCAGGTTTCTAAATAATTTGCTCTTAGAAGAAAGGTGGTTGACAATCTCAGTAATATTTCCTTTTTTTAGATGTAGATTTTCTATCCTTGCTTCCTTATTTTCGCCATTTGCCAAATTGGTAAATTGGCACTAGATGCCATAACTAGAAGGGATAAGGTAGCCTTAATAATCAATTAGAGTTCTTCAGGTCAGTTTCTTGCAGTGAAAAATATCTTAGGATACTGGAATAGTATAGATACCTTCTCTATTAGCATTCTCTGTTACTGCTGGGAAACAAGCCTGAGGAATAAATATGCACAAAGTTCTAGGAGGCGATTTATGGAAAACATTAATAGTTTCATAGAGATCTACACAAATAAAAAATAAAGGAACTTTTAAAAAATGAATAAATAAAGCAACTTTTAATTCCAGGAAAAACAACGAGTTATGCTAGAAAACAGGTGTACTTACAGTGCACTATTTGGCAGTGAAAAATGGCTATACAGCAATATAATGTAAACATTGACTACTAATGTTACTGAAACAGGTGTGATATAACTATCTCGAGACTGAAAAGGGGAAATGAGGCAGGACTTTCTATGCCTTCATGAAGTCTCAGATTGCAAGAAATAGCAGTTTACAAATAGTATTTAGAAAATACATGTAAATACCAGAGGAAATAACTGGAAGAGCTAAGGGTAGATGCCTCCAGGAAGTAGTAAGAATGGGGATGGTTGGGGCAGAGGACCGTGAGAATTATCTAAATTTTACAACTATGTCGATTTAGTCTGATAAATATAAAAATTAATCTTTTTAAGATAAGAAAGAAAGAAAGGAGGCAGGGAGAGAAGGACAAACAGGAAGCCTTTGCCCCATACCTTTCCAAACACAACGTGATCGCTCACAGAGCTGCATTTTTCCCTTACCCAGGTAAGCCCGCTTCTGGACGGAAAATAGCTGGTTTAAACATTTCTGCAAACACATACACGTAAAGAGACTACTTCTTTAGAAAAGTGTACGTTTCAGATGTGATACATGGTACAGAGTTACAACTGATAATTCACTTAGAAGTTTAAAGATTCCTCCTGGTCAGAACCAACACCACAATAATTTTTACTATATAGTAAGTAACCACTCTGTAACAAACACAGTGCTGAGAATTTTATCTATACTATTCCTAATCTTCCCAACAGAAAGCAGATATTACTCAGCTAAAATAAAATCCTTTTTAATCTACTCGCCTAAAAATCCTTTTAGCCTGGAAACAAACCATAAGCCAAAAAACAAACAAACGAATGAACAAACTCATTGCCATTGAGTCCATTCCGACTCACAGCGACCCTACAGGACAGAGGAGAACTGCCCCATAGGGTTTCCAGGGAGCAGCTGGTGGATTCCAACTGCCGACCTTTTGGTTAGCGGCCAAGCTCTTAACCATTGTGCCAGCAGGGCTCTGGAAACCAACCATAAGCCGGTAATATCCCCAAAATCTTCAAGAATTGAAAACCTAATGATATTTCTAGAATGCTCTGAAATTAAAAGACCTCCCCCAAATAATAAAGTTGAACATTACTAAGACCACTTGTTATAAGAAAGATTCCTTTCAAAGAGTGTCTCTCAGCTCTCCACCCAGAGATGTTCTCTTAGCCAGTTTCTGGAATTTTCTCTGGGCCTCAATTTTCCTCATCTGTAATGTGTGGGATTGGACAAATCATCTAGAAGGTCTTTTTCAGCAACTCTCTTACCTACTTAGAAATGGGGACACCAAGTCACAGAGAACTTAAAGAACTTGCCTAAATTCTAACACACATAAAAATCTGATTACTATTTCTATGGGCCAGTATATAAAGGGCACTTCTGATATTCTTACACCCAATCTCAAAAACAGATAGGAGTATTAATAATAAGTGGAAAGAAAAGTACGCATTGTATTTTCTAAAAGTATACTAGAGAGTGATTAAAGCATAGGGTTTTTTTTCTCCTTCACAGCAATATAGTTGATTTTACATGTATAACAATCACTGGATCATTATAGTTATGATCTTTTGTCTCAGAAAAGGCATTGGCAAGAAGACAAATGCTGGCGAGGTTGTGAGGAGATTGGAACTCTTATACACTGCTGGTGGGATTGTAAAATGGTACAACACTATGGAAAATGGTATCACACTTCCTCAAAAAGCTAGAAATAGAAATACCTTATGATCTAGCAATGTCACTTCTAGGTATATACCCTAGACATATAAGAGCAGTGACATGTATAGACATATGCACACCCATGTTCATTGCAGCACTACTCACAATAGCAAAAAGATGGAAACAACCTAAGTGCCCATCAACGGATGAATGGATAAACAAACTGTGGTATACACATGCAATGGAATACTACGCTACTATAAAGAATAATGATGAGTCCACGAAACATAACATGGATAAATCTGGAGGACATTATGCTGAGTGAAATAAGCCAATCACAAAAGGACAAATATTGTATGATCTCACTTTTATAAAAAGTCAAGAATAGGTATACACACAGAAAGCAAGGTTCTTTGATCATTACCAGGGATGGGAGAGAGGAGGAAGAGGGAAGCACTTTCTACATAGTAGACACTTGTTATTTTTGTTGATGGGAAAGACAATACCCAGTATGAGTGAATACACACTACTTGTCCAAGGTAAATGAAGACACTAAGTAGTATGCAAGAATAAGGAACAATTTCGGTAAATGCTATAACATACAATTTTGCAACAATAATAATAACAGCTAAAAAATATGTGTGTGGTTACATAGGTTGATATGTATGCATATATCTGTATAGGAAGGCACATGTGAGTATATGGGTATGCATGTATAGGTGTATCTGTATGTATAGGTATATACATGTTTGTGCTGCATATATATTCATATATGTATATATAATAAATCACATAGAGGGCACAGTTATGGATACTTCCTAGATACAACCAAACACCTCGTGGGATTGGTTTACCAGGTTTGAAGGCTTGGGATCATAGTCTTGTGGGAAAACTCAGTCGATTGGCATAATATAGTTCATAAAGATAATATTCTACATCGTACTTTGGTGAGCAGCGACTGGGGTCTTAAAACCTCATGAGTGGCCATCCAAGACACAACTATTGGTACTCTTCTGGAACGAAAGAGAATGAAGGAAGCCAAAGACTCAAAGAAGAAACTAGTCTGCAGGACTAACAGCCCACATGAACCACAGCCTCATCTAGCCTGAGGCCAGAAGAACTAGATGGTGTCCGGCTACCACCACCGACCATTCTGACCAGGGACACAATAGAAGGTCCTGGATAGAAAGGAAAAAAATGTAGAACAAAACTCAAATTCCCAAAAAAACCCAGACTTACTGGACCAATAGAGACTAGAGGAATCCCTGAGGCTATTGCCCTAAGGTACCCTTGGAACTTGGAAAAGAAACCACTCCTAGCGGTCACCTTTCATCCAAATAATAGATTGGTTTATACAATAAACAATATCACCCTTGAGAACTGTGCTGCCTTAAATAATCAACTATATGAGACCAAACGGTCAAATTTACCCTAAAACAAAGATGAGAGGCTAAGGAGGGGCAGGGAAGCTAGATTAATGGGAACAGAACAATCAGACAGGAATAATGAGAATGTTGACATGTTGTGAAAAATGTAACTACTGTCAAGGAACAATTTGTATAAAAACTGTTCAAAAAAAAAACCATTGCTGTCAAATCAATTCTAACTCATAGTGACCCTATAGGACAGAGTAGAACTTCTCTATAGGGTTTCAAAGGAGAGGCTAGTGGATTCGAACTGCCAATCTTTTTGGTTAGCAGCCAAGGTCTTAACCACTGTCCCACCAGCTAATTTGCTGTGTAAACTTTCACCTAAAACACAATAAAATATTTTTAAAAAAAGAAAGAAAAGGCATTGCCAGTCAATCAGTCTTGGTTTTTTAGATATTTAAGGTAGAACAGTAAAGTATAAAACAGGGCTTCTCAATGTCAGCACTATTGGCATTTGGGGGCAGATAACCCATCGATGCAGGGTCTGTTCTATGCATTGTAAGATTGTTTGGCAGCATCTCTCCCTTTACCCACTAGATGCCAATCACACACACACAGTCATCACAGTTGTACAATCAAAGATGTCTGCAGATATAAGCAAAATTACCCTCTATTGAAAACTGCTGGTATAAAATAATGTCCCTAAAATAGTCTGCTGGCCAGTAGCTCAGCGTGACTCTTTTTCACAATTCAGTTCTTCAGAATCCCAGTTACCACCTAGCTCTCCAAGGCACTGTCCAGCACAGTGTGCTTCTGCTCTGTGTACCCAGGGGTGCCCTTTCCTAGATGAAATTTACTTATTACTTTAATGAGGAACCTGGCATAGAGCTCATCAGACATGAGAATTCTGAAAGTCTCTCATGTTGGTGTAGGCCCTCGCAGAGAGAACCACATGAAGACCACACACATTTACTGTGAATGTGAAAGAACCCACTTGGTATCATCTCTATTCTTTATGTTATTTGACTTTTAACTAGTCATGACAACAAACACTCTGCATAATGTATTAAAAAAAAAAAAAAAAAAAAAGACCAGACTTCCTGGTCTGACAAAGACTGGATAAATCCCAAGAGTATGGCCCCCGGATACCCTTTTTAACTCAGTACTGAAGTCACTCCTGAGGTTCACCTTTTAGCCAAAGATTAGACAGGCCCATACAATAAAATGAGACTAAATGGGCACACCAGCCCAGGGACAAGGATGAGAAGGCAGGAGGGGACGGGAAAGCTGGTAATGGGGAACCCAAGGTCGAGAAGGGGAGAGTGCTGACATGTCGTGGGGTTGGCAACCAACGTCACAAAACAATATGTATATTAATTGTTTAATGAGAAACTAATTTGCTCTGTAAACCTTCATCTAAAATACAATTCAAAAAAAAAAAGTAGTAAAACAGTTTCCATTTGCAACTCCACATTCCTTTATCCCGTGACCAGATTCTTCAGTGACACTGAGGCAGTGTTCTGGCTAGCATAACAACTTGTGTAAGTGGTACTTTGCCAACACCATTGTGACTCCACAGACAGAGCCACCAATCTTGCTGCCACCAGTTACCAGACAGAATAAAGGAAAGGAAAAAGAAAGTCCTGAGGGTCAGAGTGGTAAAAACTCCCATCAGCAGTGGAGGGTGGAAAGGACAGTGGTGTTAATAACCTGCCCCAGGCATGAGGTCAACCCATAAATCCATTGCCGTCGAGTCGATTCCAACTCATAGTGACCCTATAGAATAGAGTAGAACTGCCCCATAGGGTTTCCAAGGAGCAGTTGGCGGATTCGAACTGCCGACGTTTTGGTTAGCAGCCGAGTTCTTAACCACTGTGCCACCAGGGCCCCATGGGATCAACAGTACCCCCTAATTATTTTAGTAGAACTCTCTACCATCCCCTCACACCCAAACCCACACAGATAAAACACTCAACAAAAACTCTAATAGGTTTGTTTGCAGTTGCATATAAGTTAAAATAATTAAAATTTATATTCATGATATTTTATTGTTCCTCTAGCAAGATATATATATGCCAAACACGGAAGGAGGCACACACTAAATAAGTAATTGCCTAAATTGACAATTTATGCATTTTCCAGCTCACAGCTTTCAAAATGAAGCATTGATCCCTTCAGAAGCTCTCCACTGAATTTGATAAACCTGAAAATATGCTCCTGATATTTAATATGACAAAAGGATTTAAGGCAGACTCCTAAGATCTTAAAGCCACAACAAATAAGACATATCTAAAAAAACTAAATGTACCCAGTCAGGAAAACAAACAACAAGAACAGCAAAGATTTAAGAGACATGTTTAAAAGACCATCTTATAGAGGAAGAATTGAACTTACTCTGAGAGACCCAAAGGATAGAACAAGTCACCAAATAGCTAGAAATGACTACAGCAAAAGATCTTTTGGCTGAGAGGAAGGATACCATAGGATGCATAATTATATTTTCAATCTTTACCTCTTTGATAAAAACAGTATTTCATGTCTATTCTCATTTTTATTTTTTGATTGATACTTTCTCATGCATTTATCAGTTTATTTCTTGTATGGTGTGCCTGTATTCATGTCCTTTGCTCACTCATTTTTTTCTATCAGGAATTCATCTTTTCCTTACTGATTTGGAAAGGCAGCTAAAGTTAGCTCTTTCCTGACATTTGGCACTCAGTTTGTCTGAGATTCAGTTTTCTGTCTTTACCTACCTGGCCTTTGGAGGCAACGTTTTTCTTCCAGCTTCTGTCCAGTGAATGAGGTGTCTTGCAAAATCAGAGAACAGAGTTATTTGTTTCAAAGCTTCTTTTGAAGGCGGTCTTCAGTGGCTCTTCGTAGGATTCTACAAGAGAAAATTTTAACTTTAAATCTGGTTTTTAAAACAAGATAACATTTTGATTGGAGGTTTGCTCATGGCATCTTTCCCAGTGGAGCAGACTATGAAGGCTCAGGCCTTGTCTCTCCAAAATCCTTGGGGAATGGTGGCTTGTCCAGAGCATTGGGTTCATATGTGAAGAAACTGGCTCAGTGGCCTCTACAGCAGAAAGTAAATGCAAGCAGCAGCAGCAGCAGCAATGTTTTGTCTGCATGCACAGACCAGATTTACACATTCCGAGTATAGATGGATACAAACTGTTGAAAATGTTTTAAATGATAGAGCAAGCAGCATCTAGCTTGCCCGGGCAACCTTCATGCTCCTGGGAAATCATTTTGGCAAGTTTACTTTACCAATCCTTGACTTTCACTACAAGATCATGAGCGAATCACGTTGCCTCTCTGCCTTCTTATTGCAGAAAGATGTTGTAAGAGTAGCTTGAGGTGACATCAGTGAAATCCTTTCCAAGTTAAAATAATAGGAGAGTCGATGTTATTCGCATCATTATTTTCACATCTACTCTCATCTCACGATTTAGCAAGCACTTCAGTGACTTTGCATCCTTTACCAGACCTTTAACTGCACTGAAAACCTTGCTGAGTCATCCTCCGAAACCCCAGTTTATCTGCGTATCACTTGAGCATCAGAGGGACCTGGGAGACCATTGGAAAATCTTGGCCTTTTGCCATATGACAATCCCTTCTTAATTTGGACAGAATGGGCTTAATAAACTGTCACTGGTGTTCCTAGGGCCCAGTACCTCAAGTCCTGAGCTATTCAAAAGCTAAGAGGTATGCCTTCCATCAAGAGAGGGGGATGAAAACATGAAATGTCATGCAAAGTTTTAGATCTTGCTCTTTGTCTTGAGAAAGTATACATGCTGGCTTTTTTTTTTTTTTTTTTCCCTTTTGTGACATTTCTAGAAGAATATAGAAGAGAAAAATCCAGCTCTCAGAACCTCAAGTGAGAAAGAAAAAGATGCAATTGGATGTTAGTAATGACAATCATCCCAGTTAGAAGCAAAGAGGTCAGATCTACCAGCCTAAGGAAGCAGGGGCCCTCAGGTTTTGTTCATGAATCATGGCTGCAAGTGAACCTCTCTCTATATGTCCCTTTAGGATGGAAGGATCTTCAGTATTCACTCTTCTGAAACAAAAAGAAAGAAACCCCACCAGCAAAGCCCTGAGAAACCAATGTATCTGATTAATACCCAATATCAACTTCAGTAGAAAATAAAATATAGACTTTCTTGTAAAATCCTTTTGACTGATGACTGTCTTTTGTCTTTTTCAGGCAACGCCTTATAAAAAGAACCAAAAAAATAATTTAGGGCTGAGAAAGGGAAAGGGAACCCCTAATTTTAGCCAGAAATTCCTCTGAAACAATCAGCATGAAAACCACCCTTTAATTACAGTGGGATACAAAAGATTTCTTTCAGAATATCGCCATAACAATGGTCTTTCACATAATCCTATAACTCCTTTTGCTTCAATCAGCTACTTCCGGTATTGCTACTTATTGTTACTCGGGAATTTCATTGGTTTAAAACTGATTTGGGCTCCCTTTCGAGCTGAAGAACTGCAACGCCTTGTGTCTCCTGTCATTGAAGTAGACTACTGTTAATAATTGTCTTAACTAAACATGGGGATAGTCAAGGAATTAGGCTGCCTAGCATTTTTAAGGAGAAGAACGGAAATTAAATCACAAGATGATATGCCTTACATTAAGTTTTGCATCTGAAGATAGGAAGCTTTACATCTGAAGGATGGGAATAAAAAGGTTGTGCCCAAGTGAGAATTATATATATTCAGAAAGAGAGCTTGTATTTCAGGGCTCTGACAGGATGATCCTTCATCCTTGCTCATCAGATCAGGGCTCCCGCCTATTCCTCATCCCTGCCCACAAGCAGACATCAGGCTCTCACTCTCGTTCTTTGTTCCCTTTTCTTCCTCTCCCTCCTTGTTTCTCTCCTCTTCCTCTCTCTCTCTCTCCCTCCCTCTCTCTCTCTCCTCCTGATTCTCCTATTATAAAGAAAGAATAGTTGACACCAAGTCAACTCCAACTCATGGTGACCCAATGTGCTTTTCTTCTGCGGCACCTCTGGGTGAACTCTAGTCTTTCAGTTAGCAGCCTAGTACATTAACAGTTTGCACCACCAAAGGACTTCCGAGCATCCCATTACCTAATATATGTTTTCTTCACTGCAATAGACCACGAATCTTACCAGAATCCTTGAAATTCTACACTTTGCAAACCAAGGAATTGCTACGTGCATACATATACTCGTATACCCTTACATATCTTTATAAAAGTGGTTATCTGCAAATGCAAATCTCAGGAATGTATTTGAAACACAACGAACTTTCTTTTGTCTTTATTTCACACACACACACACCCCTTTGGAAGTTTCTTATTCAAAAAGAGAAAAAGAGAAAAGTAATTGACTAAACGCAACATTAAACAGTTCTACAAGACACAAATTGTCTCAGGAACACATCCCTTTTTAACATCTCAGAAAAAGGTTGTGGCATTATATTCCTATCACCTCACCTTGAATCAAGGTCTCTTTCTCAAGAGTCATCTTTAGCATTGATCCAGGAAATTCTCCGAGGTCAGTGGTTGAATGCTCTTCCCCAAAGGAATAGGCTGCCATATCCTTGGTTTGGCTTTGCTGCCATCTTGTGGTAATTGGGCTACTGGCAACAGGAACCTCAGCTGACAGCCTCTTCACAAAGTTGCTCTTAAAGTTAGAATATGTAGTATTAACTCCATCAAATAACCACATCCAACAAAAAACCACTGGTATAGGTTATAGTAGCCTCATTGATACAAAAGTAAAAAATTCCTTAGAGGAGAATAATAAATGACCCATCTAGTACAACACAAATAACAAATACATGAAATTTTTAATTATTGTGACTTAGGAGAATTTTATTAAATTTAATAAGTGTGCGTATCATATAATGTGTGTGTGTGTCACATATAACTCTTTCAAACACCATAACCTACCTTGATCCTATCTGCTCAAGGGTCTAATGTCATACCAAAGTAGCTTAGAGAATAATTGCGTAATTAACATATAATAATAATTATATATAATTATTTTATTACTATTATATGTTCATGTAAAATATGAAGTAATAAATAACAATATATACCAAACATTCAATATGTTTATGTAAAATCATAAAATTTTACATCTGGAAAGAAACAGCAATTTTCTAATCCAACCCCTTCATTTCACAGTGGGGAAACAGGCCTGGAGAAGTTAAGTGACTTGCTAAACATATCATGCAGCTATGTGAAATTCAAAGGCAAGTGACAAACTGGAAATGAATTATTTTTTATATAAATGGCAAACACATTTGGTTAATATCTTTTTATAAAGAATTCTTAAGAAGAGTTTACTAACCTGATAGAAAAGTGGGCATAAGACATAAAAAGTCAGTTCACAAAGGAGACATAGAAAATGCCCAATAAACCTATGGAAAATATTCAACTTCACTAGTAAGCAAAGAAATGCAAATTTAAAACAAGGAGATATTAACAATGTTTTTTTAAACAATAATCCACAGTGTTGAAGCTACTAAAAACAGACACTTTCATATACTACTGATGGGGTGTGAATAAGTATCTAGAAAGGATAATTTGGCAATGTGTATCAAAAGTTTTCAAATATGTGCATAACCTCTACTGACCAGCAAGGTCACCTCTAAGAATTTAAGGAAGAAATCAAAGATGTAGGCAAAGATGGAAAAGAACATCCAGCATTTATTCAGTGTTTACCATGTATGAGCCCATTTGCTACAGCCTTTACACACGTTTGCACTTAATCCTCAAAAACACCTTATGTATGATCCCACCCCAGCTAAAGCAGGCAGAATAAAGAAAACCGAAGACCCAAGGGAAAGATTAGTCCAAAGGACTAATGGACCACAACTACCACAGCCTCTACCAGATTGAGTCTAGCACAACTAGATGGTGCCTGGCCACCACCACCAACTGCTCTGACAGGATCACAATTGAGGGTCCCAGACAGAGCTGGAGAAGAATGTAGAACAAAATTCTAACTCACAAAAAAAGACCAGACTTACTGGCCTGACAGAGACTGGAGAAACCCCAAGAGTATGGCCCCCGGACACCCTTTTAGCTCAGTAATGAAGTCACCCCCGAAGTTCACCCTTCAGCCAAAGATTAGACAGGCCTAAAACACAAACAATAACACACATAGTTCAACCACATGTAAGAGATTAAATGGGCACACCAGCCCAGGGGCAAGGACGAGAAGATAGGAGAGAACAGGAAAGCTGGACGAACGGAAATGGGGAGCCTCAGGTCAACAAGGGGAGAGTGTTGACATACCTTGGGGTTGGCAACCAATGTCACAAAACAGTATGTGCATTAATTGTTTAATGAGAAACTAATTTGCTCTGTAAACTTTCACCTAAAATACAATTTAAAAAAACCTTGTGAAGCAAGTGTATGATTTATTCCCATTTTACCAGTAAAGAAAATGAGGTTTAAAGATTAAGGCCACAGAATGAGTAAGTAGAGATGCTAAACCCTAAATCCATGTCTCTGACTCCAGAGTCCACGCTTTCAACCGAGTGCATGAGGGTGTGTATTGCAGTACTGCTTGTTGTTGTTCTTGTAGTTGTTGTTGAGTGCCAACAAGTCATTTTCGACTCACAGCAATCCCATGTAACAGAGCAGAACTGCACTATAGGGTTTTCTTGGCTATAACACTCAACAGAACACAACAACAACAATGTTTATGGAAGCCAATTGCCAGGTCTCACCAGGTTAAAACGGAAGAGCCCCTGGGTGGGATCAAACAGCCAACCTTTTGGTTAGCAGCCTAGCGCTTAACCATTTGCACCACCAGGGCTCCTTCAGTGCTGCTTATAGGGGCAAAAAGATGGGGGAGGGGACTAAACATTTGGCAGTGGGTAATTGACTAGTTAAACTATATGCCATCTATATGAGAAAACACTCTTAACATTAGCATCATTAAAATGATGACGTAAGATAATATTCAATGACAACTATGAAAATGTTTAAATATATTGCCAAGTGAAAAGTGGAGACTATAAAACAGTACTCCAATCCTGTTTCCTATATATAAATGATAAAAATATGCTAGAATGTTGAGGCAATAAATATTGGTTTTGATTGTTTTTTAATAAGTACGTGTGAGGGTGATCTTCCCGCACCTTTGCTGACAGTGTGGTTTACTCTCACCCCAGCTGCTACAGGAGCTCTCTCTCCTCGCCACCGCCTTCTGTGTTCTTCCAGAAACTACACCTTCTCCAGAAGAAGAGAAGCCAGAAGCTTGAGACCACAGTTGTAAACAATTTCATTTTGAGTCAATTGTCTTCGACTTTTCATTATTCTTCCATTGTTTTTGGGTTTTGAGTAGGAAGGGAGAAGCTAAAAAGCAGGAAGGATAGACAGCTCCACAAATATGAATCAAGACGCAAAGGCCTAGACTAGGAAGGGAAGGTAAAGCTAAGAGTGAAGCAGGCCTCGAATGAGAAACCTGGCCCACTCGGACTTTCCTTTTCCCACTTTTGGTTTCCCTACTCTGAGGAAAACCACCCAAAAACCCCAAAACTATTACCATCTTTGTGTCCATTTTAACAGTATTGTTGTTATTTTGAGCCCTGGTGGCCCAGTGGTTAAGAGATATGGCTGCTAACCAAAAGGTTGGCAGTTCAAATCCACCAGCCACTCCTTGGAAACCTATTGGGCAGCTCTACTCTGTCCTACAGGGTCACTATGGGTCGGAATCGACTCAACAGCAATGGGTTTTTTGTTGCTGTGTGCTGTCAATTCCGACTCTTAGGAAGCCTATAGGACAGGTCCCATAGAGTTTCCTAGGCTGTAATCTTTATGCAAGCGTACTGCCACATCTTTCTCCTGCAGAGCGGCTGGTGGGTTTGAACTGCCAACCTTTTGGTTAGCAGCCAAGCTCTTAACCACTGCGCCACCAGGGCTCCTTAAGGAAAACCACCAAAAAAAACAACAACAACAAAAAACAAACCTATTGCCATTGAATGGATTCCAACTCATAGGGACCCTATAGAAAAGAGTAGAACTGCTCCAGAGAGTTTCCAAGGAGCACTTGGTGGATTCGAACTGCCAATCTTTTGGTTAGCAGCCATACCTCTTAACCACTATGCCACCAATAGCCACAAAGATTCTGCCCTAGAGATAGAGGGAAACTGGGCAGTGGGAATCTTGCAAACTGGAACACTCATGTTTCAGCCAGAGCCAGAACACAAGTCAATGAGGCATGTTGTTTCATTTTCAACAGAAGTTGGAAATTCAGATTTTTGTATCAATTTCCCCCCTTTTCTAAAGTTTCTCAACAGAGTTACAGTTTTTGAAACACTGCAGGACCAAGCAGAGTACTGTGGCCCACATTCAGACTGTGGGCTACATTCACAGCCTCTGCAAAACTAAGTAGCCCTTACCCTTCTAGGTACCAAGAAAGGGAGGAGCTACCACATTTGAAGATATATTTAATATGCAACAAACATGACAGAGGAAGAAGATACTTGCTCAAAGTTTTCCTTGGAGTTCCAAAACTTAAATAAACATTAGAAAATGAAATAATCCTGAGTTTAAGAGAGGGAAAATAAGCAAGAGTAAGTTCAGTGATGTGACAGCTAAGGAGAATAGTCAAGAAATTTTACATTTGGCAACCAATGTCACAAAACAATATGTGTATTATTGGTTTAATGAGGAACTAATCTGCTGTGTAAACCATGTAAAGCACAGTAAAAAAAAAAAAAAGAAATTTTACTTTAACATGAAAGTTTGGGGGGATGTGAGACTCGGTTAATGGAAATGGAAATAATGAGAATGTTGATACAATGTGAAGAATGTGACCAATGCCACCAAGTAATATATGTAGAAATTGTTGAATGGGAAGTTGTTTTGCTATGTACATTTCCACCAAAAAAAAAAACTATTTAATAATTAAGAAAAAGGAAGAAATTTTACATTAACAATCTCATTATGCCTTGGCAGGTCTTGGTTTCTCTTGCTGTCACTCTCTCCATACTGTTTCCCCACCTGAGATGCAAGGGTAACTCCTAGCTCACCGTCACAGCTGGGTTTAACCATCAACTCCTTTGGGAAGGTGTCTCTGACATTCCCTCTCGCATCCCATTCCAAACTGGGTCAGGCAGACTGTAGTGCCCCCAAATAATGACCTCCAAAGATATCCAGGTCCCAATTCCTGGAACCTGTGATTGTTACCGTATATGGCAAAAGAGGCTTTGCAGATGTGAATAAATTAAAGATTTTGTGAGGAGAAGATTATCCTGGAGCGTCTGGCTGCTAACCAAAAGATTGGCAGTTGGAATCTACCAGCTGCACTTTGGAAACCCTATGGGGCAGTTCTACTCAGTCCTACAGGGTTGCGATGAGTCAGAATTAACTCAACAGCAACAGGTTTGGTTTTTGTTTGTTTGTTTGTTTGAGGGTGGGGTGGTTATACACAAAAGAGGAGCAGACAATGTGCCACAGAGGCAGAGACCAGAGTGATGCAGCCAAAGGCCCAAGAATGTCAGCAGCCACCAGAAGCTGAAAGAGGCAAGGAATGAATTCTCCCCTAGAGACTCTGGAGGGATTACAGCCTTACTGACACCATGGTTATGGCCCAGTAATACTGATTTTGGGCTTCTGACTTCCATAACTGTAAGAGAATAAGTGTGTTCTTTTTAAGCTGCCAAGTTTGTGACAGTTTGTTATAGCAACCAAAGAAACTAATACACAGCCCTCCTTGTGCTTCCATAGAGCACTACCAGGTTGTATTAATAATAACATTTTCAAGCACTTAATATGCGCCAGGCACTGGGATAAGTACATTAGGTGATTATTTATTTAAACCTCATCACAGCCTTATGAAGTAGATATTATTTCTCCCATTCTACGGAGTTGGAAGGTCTGTTGGTGGTGCAAATAGTTTGCACTCGACTGTTAACCTAAAGGTTGGAGGTTCAAACCCACCCATCTGTACCACGAAAGAAAAGTCCCGGTGATCTGCTGCTGTTAAGGTTACGACTAAGAAAACCCTATGGAGCACTATGGAGCAGCTCCTCTCTGTAACACACAGGGTCGCCGTGAGTTGGGATCCATTCGACAGCAACTAACAACAACAGCAGAGTTAGAAAATGATGCTTTAATGGGCCTAAGTAACTTAAGCAAGGATAGAGAGCTAATAAGCAGTGGATACAGGATTCAGGACACTGCATACAGCTGTACAGATTGTTGTCTCTGTGAATGGAACCTCTGTGGAATGCAGTGCACAAATGTTACAACCAACCAAAGTAGCCCTACCAAGGTTTGAACTCTGGCAAATCTATGCAGTCCCTATGCTTTTAGCACCTCTGCTCACATTCCACTTTTCTGATTATTTTTATTTCTCTCCTCCTATATTATAAACTCCTTAAGACCAGGGACTTTTATCTTACCATCCTCAGGGCATACATAGCACCTTTATTGGCATCTGTTGTTGTTAGGTGCTTTCAAGTTGGTTCTGACTCATAGCGACCCTATGTACAGCAGAATGAAACACTACCCGGTCCTACACCATCCTCACAGTCATTGTTATGCTTGAGCCCATTGTTGCAGCCACAGTGTCAATCCATTTTGTGGAGGGTCTTCCTCTTTTTCACTGACCCGGTACTTTACCAAGCATGATGTCCTTCTCCAGGGACTGATCCCTCCTGATAACTTGTCCAAAGAATGTGAGACGAAGTCCCGCCATCCTTGCTTCTAAGGAGCATTCTGGCTGGACGTCTTCCAAGACAGATTTGTTTGTTCTTTTGGCAGTCCATGGTACATTCAACATTCTTCACCAATACCATAATTCAAAGGCGTCAATTCTTCTTCAGTCTTCCTTATTCATTGCCCAGCTTTCGCATGCCTATAAGCGATTGAAAACACCATAACTTGCGTCAAGTGCATCCTAGTCTTCAAGGTGACATCTTTGCTTTTTAACACTTTAAAGAGGTGTTTTGCAGCACATTTGCCCAATGCAATGCATCTTTTAATTTCTTGACTGCTACTTCCATGGGTGTTGATTGTGGATCCAGGTAAAATTGACAACTTCAATCTATTCTCCATTTATCATGATGTTGCTTATTGGTCTAGTCATGAAGATTTTCATTTTCTTTATGTTAAGGTGTAATTCATACTGAAGGCTATGGTCTTTGATCTTCATCAGTAAGTGCTTCAAGTCCTTTTCACTTTCAGGAAGCAAGGTTGTGTTATCTGCATAACGAAGGTTGTTAATGAATTTCCCTCCAATCCTGATGCCCCGTTCTTCATATAGTCCAGCTTCTCAGATTATTTGCCCAGCATACAGATCGAATAAGTATGGTGAAAGGATACAACCCTGACACACACCTTTCCTGACTTGTCTGTCAATTTGTCTTAGCATGGGGGCTTGCGTGTTGCTGTGATGCTGGAAGCTATGCCACCGGTATTCAAATACCAACAGGGCCACCCATGGCTGACAGGTTTCAGCTGAGCTTTCAGACTAAGACAGACTAGGAAGAAGGACCTGGCACTCTACTTCTGAAAAGAATTAGCCAGTGAAACCTAATTGGCATTTAAACAAAACCCATTGCCGTCGAGTTGATTCCAACTCATAGCAACCCTATAGGACAGAGTAGAACTGCCCCAGATGGTTTCCAAGGAGCCCCATGATGAATAAATGAATGAATCTCTTCCCCTAGAGCCAATTAGTGCTAAAAAGGCACAGGGGATTTAAGAAAGAATCCAGGGGCAAGGAAATAAGCTATTCTCTTTCTTTCTTCTCCATTAAGAAGAACAATTTCGAAATTGAAAAGGGTAAAATAAACACCGGAGTCCTGTTGGCTCAGTGGGTTACGCACTCGGCTGCTAACCAAAAAGTCAGTAGTTGGAACCCACCGGCCGCTCTTCGGGAGGAAGATGTGGCAGTCTGCCTTCCTAAAGATACGCAGCCTTGGAAACCCTATGGGGCAGTTCTACTCTGTCCTATAGGGTCACTATGAGTAGGAATTGACTCAATGGCAACAGATTAAAATAAACATTTTTGCAGAAACTAGAGAGTGGGATAAATGAGGCAATAAGAGTACATCGAGATATTTTAAGTAAGTTCAGGTCTCTAGAGCCAGATAAATGAAATCCCGGAGTACTGACAACACTTGTAAAGTGATCTCTTGTTAGTGATCTATGAGGATAAAAACACGACAAATGAGAAAAATGCCCCTCCAAAAAAAATTTAGATAGACAAATGTTTTTCATGGTTTGCCAGCAGGAGGAACAAGCAGCTAGAAGTAACAGATTAGGTTTGCTGCCAGTGCCCTATATGGCACAAGTCTTACTGGGTCAGTGTTAGCTGGAATGAATTCCTCTGTGACACACTGTAGAGTTTTGTCCCTGGCCTTATGCTGTTCAGCTTGTTCTCAGTGGCTTGAAAAGAGATTTATATAACAAAAATGTTGATTATCAGCTCTGAGAGACCGAGCTATTGGGCTGAGGGCTGGGGACCCTGGTCTCGGGACCATCTAGCTCAATTGGCATAACACAGAATACAAAGAAAATGTTCTACATCTGACAGTGGTGAGTAGCGACTAGGGTCTTAAAAGCCTGTGAGAGGCCATCTAAGATGTATCTACTGCTCCCATCCTGGCTGGAGCAAAGAAGAATGAAGAAGACCGAAGACACAAGGGAAAGATTAGTCTAAAGGGCTAATGGACCGCAACTACCACAGCCTCCACCAGACTGAGCCCAGAACAACTAGATGGTGCCCTGTTACCACTACCAAATGCTCTGGCAGGGATCACAGTACAGGGTCCCGGACAGAGCCGGAGAAAAATGTAGAACAAAATTTAAATTCCGCCCCCTCAGAAAAAAACCAGTCTTGTTGGTCTGACAGAGACCAGAGAAACCTCGAGAGTATGGCCCCCGGACACCCTTTTAACTCAGTACTGAAGTCACTCTGAGGTTCACCCTTCAGCCGAAGATTAGACAGGCCTATAAGGCCAACAATAACACACATGAGGGACGTGCTTCATAGTTCAGTCACGTATATGAGACTAACGGGCACACCAGCCCAAAAGCAAAGATGAGAAGGCAGGAAGGGAGAGGAAAACTGTACGAATGGAAACAGGGAACATGGGATGGAGAAGGGAAGAGTGTTGACACATCACGGGGTTGGCAACCAATGTCACAGAACAATTTATGTATTAACTATTTAGTGAGAAACTAATTAGCTCTGTAAACTTTTACCTAAATCACAATAAAAAATAAAAGTAAATTGTTGATTGTCCTAAGTTGAAAAGATAGTTAAAATATCAAAGGACAGAAAGGAAAGAATAAAATTCAGAATAAAGTCTGAAACAAGGGCCAAAATCAGCAAAATTAAATTCAATGAGGATAAATCAAAAGTCTTCCGTTTAGATTTTTTTTCATTGCGCAGCCATGAGATGGGAGAGGACTGACACTGAAAATCCATCACCAAAATATGAGTCAACAGGATGATGAAATTACTTTTTTAAAAAAGCAGTACAATTTTGGATCACATTAGGAGAAAAATAGTGTCAAGAAAGAGATGGAGTGAAACCCCAGGGTCTCTGCACAGGTCAGAAGTCATCCGGAGAACCGTGAACAGTCCCAGAACTGTTCTTTAAAGGGAGACTGACAAGCCAGGATTCAAAACCTGAGTTCATGCAGAGGAAAGAGACTGCAATGACATGGAGGGGTGGGCGAGGGGGTTCAGGAAAAGCACAGGAGCGGAGCCACACCTAAACAGAGTGAAGGAGCCCGAGGCATTTAGTGTAGAGGAAGAAAGATCCAAAAGGAACTGTCTTCAAATATTTAAAGGGCTGTAATTTGCAGGGAAAAAAAATGACAGGAGTCCCTGGGTGGTGCAAACGGTCAAGCACTCCACTGCTAGTCAAAAGGTTGGTGGACTCGACGTGGACGGGATTTTGGTTTGGAGGTACCTCAGAAGGCAGGCCTGGCAATCTGCTTCTGAAAGGTCACGGGCTTGAAAACCCTATGGAGCAGTTTTACCCTGCACATATAGAGTCGCCGTGAGTCGTAATCCACTCCACAGCAGCTAACAAAAACAACAATTTCTGAAAAGAAGAAAGCCTTGTTCTGTATTGCTCCTAAGGGTAAAACTAGAATCAATGAATGGGAGGAAGCAAATTTTTATTCAACATAAAGATCTTTGAAAGAGCGCACGATTTTCCATGACATTTTGAACATAAAGTTCAGTTCCCAGTCAGCCCCTCCACTAGCGGCACATGGTTTGGGGTGGTGGTACAGATGAATATTTTTAATAGTTATATACTTTCGTGTGCATTTTTAAATCTGTTTTAAATTTTTCAATGTTGATATAAAGTTTTCCCTAATAAAAAATTAATTTGAATAAAACAAATGAGTCCATTTAAATAAAAAGTGTTTGGTAAATAATAGCTGGTATGCAGACATCATGGCACAAAGAGGTGGCATGCAAATGCCCGCAGCTTAGCAAACAGTGCCATAGGTTGTGCTATTTCATCTTCGATGTTTTTAAACTTTTGTCCCAGGATCTTTCTCCTGCTGAGGAAATGCCTGTCGCATAGTTTTAAATGACTCAAGTATTTATTAATAGAGAGGAAGAGGAAGATAAGAAAAATAAGACAAAGAAGGGAAAAGGGATGAATGACTCGCTACTCCAAGCACATCAGTTTGGCTTGTTTATCCTTAAAGAGTTCACATCATATGGACACTAAATTGGGAGGAATTCAGAGCACCAGTGCCAAAAAATAAATAGAAAGGAACCTAGAGAGGTTAAAAATAAGGTCAGGAAATAACAAAATGAAACAACTGGGAAAATAGAAACAAATATATCTAGTGATAAATAACCTGACACACAAATATTCAGTGGGTGGGGAAAGCCTGGCTGTGCCAAGAAAGACACATTGGTGATGCCAGGTCCTTCTAGAACTACCAAAGTACATGGCAGAGACAAAAGTAACAAAGATGACCCCATTAGGGCTCAGGTATATCCTCCCAATGCCTGTTCCTTAGCCCCTGAATGTCTCTCTCCCCCACTCACCCTACCACCATCAGCCCAAAGCAGCAGCATTCTAGCCACAAGACGCTTCAAATTTAAGGTCTCAATACTATATCAAATTAATCATTATGGATTGAATTGTGTCCCCCGAAAATGTGTTGAAATCCTAACCCCCTGTACCTGTAAATATGCCCCAGTTTGGAAATAGGGGGGGTTGTTTTATGTTAATTGGGTCATATCAGAGTAGCATGGGTCCTAAACCTGATCACTTCTGAGTTATAAAATGCAGAATAGACACAGACACACACACAGGGGGAACATAGATGCTAAGAAATGCCAAGGAACTCCAAGGAATTTCAAGGAACTCCTGGGGTTACTGACAAGGAAGGACCTCTCCCTAGAGCATGCCCTGAATTAGGACTTCCAGCTTCCTGAAATGTGAGAAAATAGATTTCTGTCCTTTAAATTCACCCACTTGTGGTATTTTTTGTTACAGCAGCACTAGTTATCTAAGATAATTGTGAAGACCAAATTGTTCATCTCATGGTTGAACTTCCAATGCTTCTGAATCCTAATGGGCAATACAACCCAAGCAAAAACTGTCAAGATCATTTTCAGGTAGGCATTTCTTTTGTTTTCCATTGCCAACCCCTGCCACTGGGGGCTCCAAGTGTCTTTAGTATCTATACTCTCCTTCTGTTGGAGCCCTGGTGGCACAGTGGTTAAGATCTCAGGCTGCTAACCAAAAGTCCAGCAGCTTGAATCCACCAGCCGCTCCTTGGAAACGCTATGGGGCAGTTCTACTCTATGAGTCAGAATCAATTCAACTACGATGAGTTGGAATCGATTCTATGGCAATGGGTTTTCTCCTTCTATTGCTTTGACCCAGGTTACCTTCACTAAGACCCTGTCATCTCTCATCTTGACTTGTTGCTCTGCAGACTTCCTAGACTCCTTCCAGAGAACTTCAGTATACATGACCAAGCTTTGTTGTCCTTGCTGTTCTCTACTCCCTGTCCTCATTGGGCTCTTAGAATAATTTCTTATAAAACTGTCTTCTGATGAATAAAACCCCTTCACCAGAGTACTAGAGCAATCTCACCTACCATATTTTCTTCTAAGTAAACTCGCTTCACTTATTACAGAGAAATGGTTTAATGCAGTTGGAAAAAAAATGGTTAAGAAGTTGAAAGTTCTAAATTCTAGTCTTACCTGTTCCACTTACTAGTTCTGTGATATTGGATGAGTTATTAACTTCTTCCTGCTTCAGTGAAGTATTGTGAGGAAAATGATATATATACTAAAAGGGGTTGTGTGCAATATAAAGCTCTCTACAAACTTAAGTCACTTATTTAGCACTTGGTTATTTACTACCTTATCATTCTTCCCTAATTGTTTCATGTGTGTTCTCTTGTCTCCAAAATTGATTTTAAAGTTGTGTAAGGCTGGCTCCATCACTTACACTTTACTTGTATCCTCTGCAGTGCCTAGGTTTGGTAGCTTAACTGAATCAACTGCTTATCCCAGTCTTGATCCAGTAGCTTCCCCCAAGCTTGACCTTCAACTCATCGGTCTCTGCTCTTCCCCTCCTTTAGGAAGCCTTCCTTGATCTAATGAAAGAGTGCTGCTAGTTTTTCCAGCATAATAACTCCTATGCAAAGACATCAGTAATTCTGAAATATTTATAGTCGGACAATAGTTTTAGTATAGACAGAACATTAAAACAATTAGTGACATCCTCAGAAGGCTAAGAGATGATGACATCAAAACATATACAGAATCTATGTCACTGAATTGTACATGTAAAAATTGTTGAAT